ATCACATATGGTAAATTAACATTACATTCCGATATGCCATAACAGAGATGCGAAAAGTTCTCACATATGGTAACTTATGCTATGGAGTTGAATATGCAAGTCGTAAACTATGCGACAATATGTCGCATTATCATAAAACATGCGACGTTTAATTTGGATAAACAATTACATAATATGCGTGAATGTTTCACATACTTCTTAACTATGCGGCCAATTTAGATATGCGAGACGTAAACTATGCGAAAACTTATCGCATAATAATAAAATATGTAGTTATCAATTTGGATATACGAATACGAATTAAATTCACATAACAAAATATATGCGGTAGATTTGAATATGCGATTAATAAATATGCGAATGTGTTTCGCATTGTTAACTATGCGTCTGATTTGGATATTCGTCAATATATACGATAAATTCCGCATAATTATTAATTTTGCGGTTAACATGGATAGGCGATTTATATATTGTATATAGTTTTGTGAGTATAGGGTGAAAAAATAAAATTATTTATGGAACAATGTGTAAAAAAAAGTGCAAATATATATATTGAGGCAAAAGAAATTTGCGAATATTCATATTTTGTCACGTCTTATCCCAACTGTTTTCATTATTTTCCTGCGACAAATCTAATTCTATGTCCCTAGAAAAAGGAAACAACATACGAATAAGAAAAGGCTCGAAACTTATCTTAATTCGAGATACGCATTTATTAATTCACATTTTTTTTTCTCTTCATACTATTTATGTTTTTGTGTGTTTCTAATCCTGACAGTGGTATTATGCTGCTTGTATTATGTTGCTTTATTCTGGAGTACAACCTACAATAAAAACATCATAAGTAAAATAGTTTTCTCTCTAAATATCCAAATCCCCTTTCGGCTTCAATGTAGCAATCCCTATTGTCGCGTCGTCTCTTCGCCTCTTCTTCTCTAATTCTCTCTCGTCGGGCCTTTCCCAGCTGGCGCTGGGTCTCTAACGGTGGCCGGATCCGGGCTGTGTGGGCTCCTCTGCGATTTTGGGTTGGTGCCTCACCTTTGCGGCTTTGGAAGAAGATAGCGACTCAGGCGGGTTTCGGCGTTTGTGTAGCTGCCGCCGTGGATTGTAGGGTCATCAGACTCCGGGGTTGTAGGTGGAGGGTATTGGCGCTTCTTCGGTAGGGGTTGCGACTCCGGCAGCCGGCAGCCGGGTGGTGGGGGCCAGGGTAGAGGATGGCGAGCCTTGCCTCTTGGGTCATCTCTTTCCCTGGTGTTGGGTTTAGAGGTCGACCGACGTTTTTCCGATCTCGGGCGGTGGTGTGGACCGAGTTTGGGACAGCGGTTGTGTGGAGGGGTTAGGTTGCCATCTCGTCCGGCTTCGGAGCCGGGGTCAACTATCAGGGTGCGGAGTCGTTTTTTTTGGGTTGCGGTTCCAGTTAGGAAGGTTTGGCAATTTCTGAGCGGTGTCCTGGGACGTGGTCCGGTCCTTCGGGGTGGTCGGTCGGGTTGCCACCGTCGTGTTTGCTCTTGGTGTTTCTTACCGACTGTGGAACGGCTATGTCTAGCCTTTGTTTTTTTTTTTGTGTGTGTTTTGTTGGTTTGTTATTGGTGGTCGTGTTTTGTGTTTGAGTTGGATGTAGTTGGTGTTTTGTGTTGTTTTGCTTTGTGTTTCTCTCGTAAGGGAGTGTGTATTCTCCCGCAGGGGAGTGTGTATTCTCCTGTAGGGGAGTTTTATTCTTCAGTTGTGGAATTAGGTTTGTTTTTGTAGGAGCATTTTGTTCTAGTGTAGGTTATAGGCGATCTTTGGATCTGTCTTCCCATTAGATTTAACTCTTAAGCTGCTTTATTCAACTGTTGGGTTGTTTTCTAGATGTAATTCTGTGTTTTTCTGTAATATTTATATCATTTCGAAAAAAAAAACAACCTACAATGAATAATTCGTGAAGATTAATACGACATCGTATCTTCAGGATGTTTTTGCACTTCATTTTGTTTCGATTCACATTGCGAGAATTAATTCCATTTCTATTTTCCTCTTGCTAATTCAACTTGTATAAAAATTGAATCTAATTAATCAAAATAAAACACAGCGGAAGACTAAGACTTAACAATAACAGAAGATCATGCACAAATCACACGAAATTCCCCCTACATATTAATACAGAACGCGCTGAGCCTACGTGGCTGCTTCTGGTGCTTCAGAATCCTATATGGCAAAATTACATGCTTCGTTATTAGAGCACCCACAATGTTTTGAGTCTCTTAAAGAAAAATCAAGTGCCATATAGGAAATAGACTAAGTCCATAGAAAGATGTATTCCAATGCAATAAAAAGTAGACTTGGTCTAGCTTACGTGACACTAGAAAAAGGAGACAAAGCCCACCTTTGGGTCTATTTTGAACCCAAGTACAAACCTGCCTAGTCATCAATTGTTCACATTTTTTTTAATAGGCAAAACATATTCTTTTGTATGCATTTATTATTATGATATTTTATTGGTTGTTGGGTATCTAGGACCTAGTACTTTTTTTTGCATTGGATAGATTTTGGATTTTTTAGCTTGGGTTTGTCCATGTCATTATGGACTTAAGTCTATTTATTTGCCACATATGCATACATAGATCCAAAGCATTGTGGATGCTCTTAGGCTTGGGTAAATTTTAATTTAATTCCAAACCAAAAATAATTAGGTTCGGATTAGCATAAATATGTTGATTATTTATGGTGTATTAATTGTATTTTATTATCATTCCTTATTATAACTATTGAATTGTATATACATTTTAAAAGTTAATAACTTTTGTATTTTTTATCAATTTTACATATGTAATATATCAAATTGATCTTCTTTTGATGAACTTCGATTTAACATCCATATTGTATGTATAAAAAAAAATAATTTATATTTATCTTTATAACAATAATAAAATTATTTTTAATATTAATTAGAAAAATAAAATTATTTATCAACTAATATATTTATATTTCAAGTAGTTATATGATATAAGTTATAAAAACTCATATAATATAACACATGTAAGTCATAAGTAACACATGTCATTCTAAAATATATTTTAATATTTTTTGTTTTTTTGTAAAAAAGTAAACTAAATTTAATATAGTTTTCTCATTAATTTTAAAATTTAAAAATAATTTTTTAACAAACACTCGTATAATACACGGGTGTTGTACTAGTTCAAGTATTAAATACAAAAATCTAGACGCGAGAAAATAACTTTTTTCACAAGCATAAAAATACTTGAGCCAAGCCCTTAAGTAAATAATATTATTAAAGGAAAGTTTAACAAAAATAGGAATAAAAACAAGACGAAAAAAACTCCCTTTCTAGATCTTGTAATGATGCGAACCGAGCATTCGGGTTCGATGAAGTATATGAGCGGGAGTAGTTAATTTTAGTTGTGTTAGTTAAGTATTTAGATAGATTATTATGTAAGTTATAATTTAAATTTGAATGGTTAGTTAGTTATAATTTGAATATTTGAATTATGTTAGTTTTAAGCTATAAAAAGCCATGTACTCATTAATGTAAAGGAAGAAAGTTTAATGAAATAAAATATAAGAAAAAGGCTCGTTTTCGAGTACTCTCTTCGTGGAAAACCGAGGCCGTTAGTGCAGGTTTTTCACTTATTAATGTGTAAACCAAGACCGTCAGTGCGGGTTTATACATTTTATCGTGTTCGAACCAAGGCCGTTAGTGCGGGTTCTTACACAAAATCGAGTCTCGATGCACGATCTTCATCAGACTCGTCCAACTCTCCCTCAACAGACGAGAGAATCCTATAACAACGTCTCGTACTAAAGCCTAACAAAAAAAAAA